TAAATTCGCATTCAAATAAACTTAAAGATATATTATAGTAGTTTAATCATGCTTAAGAGTTACACTTTTTAGAAACCTAATAACAATAATTATGGCTCCGCAATTACTTCACTGGACCCTGATAATTTTGTTGAATTTCTTTTTTCATTTTTACTTTCAGATTCATGAGGGAAATACACTGTGACAGCATGTTAGAAGGATGATAACTATGTCATCAACTTTCTCGCATTTGGTTGCTAAAGAAGGTTACCCATTTTGTGTTTGAGTTCCAGTTTGAGTAAACAGAAGCACACCGATACACCAAACGTAAGGAAGAAGCGAGACAGATTTACAGAGACAACAGAGGGGTAGAAAAGACGAAGGATCTACCAGTGGCGCCTTCCAATGAACCCAGCACCCATTTGCCGTTAGTAGACGCATGTACAAAGAAAAATATATCAAAGCATTCATTTCACACACGTCATCTTTCATGTGAACCAAAACCACGATCTTTAATTTCAACTTTATTGCCACGAATACTCCAGCAAGACATCTAAGAGCGGAATTAGAAACGACCTAATGTAGTTTTTTTTAAATTGAAAAATCAAACGTATGTACCCTACAACAGAGAGAATCTATCTAAACTTGATAAGAATCGCTCAGCAACAAAACAAGACACATAACGAAAAGTTTCTCAATCTGGGATTTTAAAAAAAGACATACACCTCGCTTATCCAAACACACAAATAATTCACCCTTACGCTCACTGTTTGTTGTTTCTCAGAGACACCAATAACTGTCATCAATTGTGGTTTAAGTTTTTTAAAAACCCACTCCAAAACAAAACAAAAACATGTCATATAGCATTGTACCTTTATGTGTGTGAATCACAGCAATAGATTAGCATTATTCCGTCAGTCAGAGAAGCAGGTGGGGGAAAAATACGACAAAAGTCTGTTGCCAGCTTTTCTTCGGAATAAAAAAAAATCAGTTTTTGTGTTTTCGATTCAGTGTTTGTGTCAAACAAATCTCCGATCTGAAACCGCGGAGATCCGTCTCACAAATAATCCAACAAAGGTCGTCGTTTTCACACGGAAACAGGATACTGATTGCGTATTGTCAATGCTGGAGTAATGCTCTAAATGTCTTCTTCAGGCAAGTTTATGACTTCAGGGGTTTTGTTGCTGGGTTTTTCTCCTTACTCCAAGTGAAAGTAAAGGCCGTACCGCACCCAAACCAGAACAAGAAATGAAAATAGAGAAAAGAAGTGGAAATAGTTTGCTACAACTCTTCCTTAGAATTACAACGTTCAGACATTTTTTGGCCGTTTTGAGTTACTGAGATAATGAGGTCAGGCTAATCAAGATTTTGCTCGGTCTGAAATTTACTTGTGCCTCTTTAACTTAACCATCAATTATTTATTTTTAGAGGGACCTGGCATCCATGTCCAGGTGTTGTTTTAGCTCCTCTTTAACTTACTTATTCAACAGTAATAAATATTTAACAGATAATTGAAATGCATTATTACGGAACCAAGAAGACAATGAAACAATGCTTCAAAAGGCTATTTTAAGCACTTTAAAGCAGACGACAGCCCCATGTGAAGTGCTGTAGACTTGACGATACCCTAGAATATTTGACGTTAAACATTTTGAATTTAACAACACGGTCAATATTTTTTTCCGGATGCAAACCATTGAATATTTTGATAACAATTCCGAATGACCTCACGATTTTGATAGAACATTTAGATAGAACAGGGTTTCTGGCGTCATGATCTTAGTAACTCAACATGGCAAAAGATGTCAGACAGAACTTTGTAATTCTAAGGCAGAGCTGAGCGGCAGCAAATTATTTTTGACGGTTTTAGAACAAAGTGCCCTTCGTATGGGGTTTAATACCTAGTGAACACAACCAATTGCCGCCAATTGGTCTCTTTTAAGGACAAGCGGGCTAACCCAGATTTCGGGGGTTTCCAGAAATCTTGACGTACACCAAAAGTGGGCATTACCCTACCTATGGGAGAAGTTAGGTTTCATTGGTGTGTATATTTGTTTGGTTACAGACAAAACTCTCCTTGACTTTTAAAGAAACTGAACAAGGGTAAAAAAACGTTACCTTCGATTTTCTTTAAATAGCATTTTTCGGGATAGCCGCCTTGTGCTTATAAGCGACCAATTTGATTCCTTAGTTGGTTTGATGGGAACCAGCGAGAGAATTTGCCCTCATGGAGGAGCAAAAGCTGCCATCTTTTTTTTTTTTTAACTACGCGACTGATTCGACTTGCGAGCTCGAAGAACAAACTTGTCTGTCTTTTGAAAGTCGCCGTTGAATTTAGTTGCATTCTATAGTTTTGTGCCAAAATTGTAGCTTTTGGACTTTTGGCACATTCATGGAGGAAAATCTGGCTGGCGCCGTCAGAATCAATATGAATTCGATTAGTATTTTAGTATTGTGAACTGATTATAAGAGTGAGTGTGAGTATGTGAATGTGCATGTGTGTGTGTGTGTGTGTGTGCGTGTGTGTGTGTGTGTGTGTGTGTGTGTGTGTGTGT